CCACCCCAGGCCTTCGCCACACTAAGGACACATACTTTCTGAGGGGCACTGAGTAAAGTGATTGAGAGTCGAACTGATGGTATTAGGCCAGTTTACAATAGTTTGTAACAAATGAACTCCGAAATGCTGTGGCTTATCACAAGAGTAGTTCCCTTTACCTGTATGTATCAGCAGAGGGTGAGCACACAGGTCTGAAGGGTGTCTGTCCTCTAACCTCAGGCTGATGGAGGTTCTTCTGTCTCCTGCACAGCTCTGAGGCCATCCTAGGTCCTTTCCATTTCAGCCAACTGGGAGAGAAAAGGGCGCGGCGAGTCCCATGAGGTCTATATGGGCCGCCTCGGGAAGTGGTACCTATCACTTCCTCTCACATTCCATTGGCTGGAACTCCCTCACATGGTCACACCTACCTGCAAGTAATGCTGGGAAATGCATTCTCTGGCTGGGAAGTCCTTTCTTAGAGACAAATCTATATTCTAGAGTTGAGAGGTGGAGGGAGGCTTGCATGTTTGGGGCAGTGTCATTGCCGCACAATCTGCACTTGTATCTCAGCTCTTCACCCTACTTGCTATATGGCCTTGTTGAAGTGACTTCCCCTTTTTAAACTTCCTCTCTAAAACAAGGGCATTATCATGGGGCTCTAGTAAGGACTTAGCAAGATAAAACATAGAGCCTGGATTAACCACTCGGAGAACAACACTAGCTTTTATTTTCGTCATGACCATGATCATTATCATATCATCACATCAAGGAAGAACTGGTACCAGATGCTCTCCAACACTCCTTTTAACCCTAAAGACTATGATCTTGCCATCAGAAGGTTATGAAAGCTCCATTTTTTTCCTTCCTAAAAGGCAGTACAGTGCTATGGTTAAGAGTAAGTATGGTCTCTGCAGACAGTTTGGGTTTCAAATACATTTTTTTGTTTTTACCAAATGTGATCTTGGGAGAGATTTCAACTTCTCTGGGCCTCAGTTTACTCATTTCAAAATGGGCAGAAGTTGGCCAACTACAGTGCTCAGGCCAATTCTGGCCACAGTCTGCTTTTTGTAAATAACATTTATTGGAACCTTGACTGCTGATGTCCAAGGGCTAAAGAAGATGGACATCTCAACTCATGAAGAGAGGGTGGATTCTCCCTTCTGGTACCTTTTTATTCTATTCAGGCTCTTCATGGGTTGGATGATGCCCACCCTTATTGGTGAGGACAATCTTCTTTATTCATCTACTGATTCAAATGCTAACCTCTTCCAGAAACACCCTCACAAACACCCCCAAAATGTTTCATTAGCTATCTGAACATCCCTTAGCCAAGTCCAGCAGACACATAAAATTAATCATCACAGCCTTTCAAAGGACAAGAGCAATGGAGCATTTATTTACCAGCTCTCATCTGTCATGGATTTGAGGGCTGCCCCCATGCACTGGGCAGACTTCAATGGTCAATGAAAGCCCCCAGAAAATGTGTTGCCCCAGGCAAAGTGTCACAGGTATTGGAATTAAAGTTCCAGCCAGCACCCAGGAAATGATAAGTGCTGAGTATATACTCAGGTACAGACGACATTGGCATCACATTGCCAACTCTTCTCTGCCTTCCAGGTACTGTGCTCCATCATCGCAGGCATATTGCATTACCTCTACTTGGCCTCCTTTACCTGGATGCTCCTCGAAGGGCTGCACCTCTACCTCACTGTCAGGAACCTCAAGGTGGCCAACTACACCAGCGCAGGCAGATTCAAGAAGAGGTTCATGTACCCGTTAGGCTATGGGATTCCAGCTCTGATTGTGGCTGTGTCTGCAATAGTAGGACACAAAAATTATGGAACATACACTCAGTAAGTATAATGAGGGTGTTTATGGTGACAGTGATACCCATGGCCAATACGTGATCTGAAATAAAAAAACATTGCTTTACGTTCCATTTTCCAATTGTGAATTTTACTTCAAACCAGTTCTTCCTTAAGCCTGAATTTTATTTTCTCCTGGAAATCCCTAGAGCTGTGGTTTTCAGCATCTTTGGGTAGTTCCCTTTGAGAATTTTGGTGAAATTCAGGGCCTGTTTCCCCAGACAAATGAACACAAAATTTTTAATACAACTTCATGAAATTTAGGGGCAAGATAGCAAACCCATGACTCCACATTAAAAACCTGTGGGTTTTATGTTCTGTAGGATTCTGAGAGAGTGGGTTGACTAGGTTGAGGTTCATCTTCACAATGTAAAGGATAACAACAATAACAACCACCTCTGAAGGCCTGTGCTGTGTCAGAGATAGCGCTTTCTAGCTGCAGAATCTAGTCTCTTCCTCCCATGAGGTTGGCATCGTTTATCACATCATGCACGGGACATCTGGGCCTTAGTGCATCTAATCAACTTTCTCAAGGTCATATCTAAAAGAAAGTAAGTCAGAATTCCTAAGGCAGTGTTTTTAACAGCCATGCTTTGCTGCCTCACTAAAGAAGTTTGCAAAGCCTTGCAAAGTTAGTTGAAGAAGTTAGTATTCTGGCAATGGCAGTGGGGCTTAGGTTAGGAGGTAGGTATGCGTGTGCTAAACCAACATGTAGGAGACTGGCCATCTTAAGTCAGAGATGCCTTGTCTCCAGCTTGATCCGATCTGTGTCCTCCCAGAATGGCCCTGGAGATGGTAGGGTAGATCAGGAATTGGCAAAGTTTCTATAAAGGGCCAGATGGTAACTGTTTTGTGGTCTCTGTGGCAATGACTCAGCATTGCCCTTGTGGTGGGAAAGCAGCCAAATCATAGACAATATGTAAATGAATGGGTATGGCTGTGTTTGAATAAAACTTTATTTATAAAAATAAGAGGTGGACTGGATTTGGCCCGTGGGACATAGTTTGCAACCTTTGGAATGGAACTAAGAGTGGGAGTTTTTCTGACCACTGAGTGTTGGTGGTTGCTTGTTATTTTTGCCAGTTTCGCAGTGCCGGGTCCCCTTTCAGAATAAGCGATATTACCATTGCCAACATAAGCCATGACAGAATACAGAGTCTTTTGGTAGTTTTTATAATTCCAGTTAAATTATTATTTTTATTCTTGTTTTCCAGCTTTATTGAGATGTAATTGATATATAGACAATTGCACCTATTTAAAGATACATGTTAATGAGTTTGGACATATACATACACTGTGACACCATCACCACAATCAAGGTAACAAGCATATCCACACCTCCAAAAGTTTCCTGGTCACACCCAGAACATTGACATTGAAGCAATCTCTGATCTTGTTTATACTTCTCAAATTTTACTTGCATCCTTTTGTATATTTAGTTCTGTGCAATTTTATAACATGCATAGAGGTGTAATCACTACCAAATGGTTACATTCCATATGATTCTCATTATATAACACTCTTGAAATGAAAAAATTAGTTTTACTCTTTTTCTTATTGTAGTAATCATTATTATTAGGATACCTACATTTATTTAGCCTTAACTCTGCCAGGAACTGTATCTAAAAACTGTGTGCACATTACCTCATTTAATATTTCCTACAAGATCTATATGAGAAAACAATGAAAGAAATCAAAGAAAGCTCAAATAAATGGATAGTCCATGTTTATGGATAGCACGACTGCATATTGTCAAGAAGTTAGTGCTTCTCAACTTGATCTATAGGTTCAATGCATCCACAATAATAATCCAAGAAAATTATTTTGTGGACATTTGACAAACTGGTTCTGATGTTTATGTGGAGAGGCCTGGAATAGTTAACATAATGCTGAAGGAGAAGAACAAGTCACAGGATTGACTCCATCTGACTTCAAGACTTACTTGGTAGATAGCCACAGTAATCATTTAACTTTTTTCAATACTTCTGTTAACCCCACTTTACACCTGGGAAAACAGGCTCAAGGCATACAGCCTGTATCAGATGAAGACCCATGTCTGATTCGATCTAAAACTCAGGTCTGAACTAAACAGCTTCTGGCACTGCTCAGATCTTGCTACAGGAGCCTGAATTAAATCTCTTGTCTTCTGAGAAATAAACAGCAAATCCTTATCTTTCTCTCAACAGCTGCTGGCTCAAGCTTGATAAAGGGTTCATCTGGGCCTTCATGGGGCCAGTGGCCATCGTTGTCTTGGTAGGTGACCATTGACGGTTATTTATCGGTGTGCCTGCCCTGGGTTAGCCAAGCATAAAGGGGAAGTGAGATAAAGATAAGGAAATATAACCTAATGTGGTCAACTCTACCTTACTGGAAATACTGGCTGAATGTGTGTTTCCCTGGCTTCTGCCGAGCTGACTGGTTGCTTTGATATAATATAACCCTCTACTGGGCATTCTTTTAAAAATTCTACATTCATTTATTCAACAAATATTTAGCAAGTTTCTACTCTGCATAGAGTAATGTGTTTTTCTGTTGGCCAGGAACTTTCCATTTACATCCAGTGTTCTGGCATAAATATTAATAGCACTTTTTCACTTTCAAGGTGTCCTGGTTTGAATGATAAATTATATAGTCACTCTGATCAAGCACCAACTGCCACAGGTTATACACCCTGTGCTGTTTAGACCAGAGCGTGGGTCCATATCATCCTTATGAAGCCTGTATCTTTTGGGAAAAGATTCTTAGGTCCATCTTAAGTTGGGTTGCATGACATGGCCTCAAAAGAAAATTTCAAGTCAATTTTCCATGCTGTTTCTACAGATAAACGTGGTGTTCTACTTCCAAGTTCTGTGGATTTTGAGAAGCAAACTTTCCTCCCTCAATAAAGAAGTTTCCACTATTCAGGACACCAGGTAAGAAGGTAACAGAATCAGTGGTATCCAGATTTTCCTGGAGGAGAACCCTGCCTGGGAGAGAAAAAAACCCATTCAAAAATGTGATGTAAAATTTCCTGGTACTAGGTAAAGAGTACATGAGGGACAACTTATGAATAAGGAAAAACTATAACTTTCAGGTGATTTCATGAACTCTCCCATCCCTTTATTCAATAAATATTCATTGGGTGCCTCATTTGTGTAGCTCACTCTTCATATAAAATTAACTCCAAAACTGTCAACTTTATCCTTTTGTCCCCAAGAGTCCACCCACCTTTGGATTGCATTCTCCTTGGGTGTAGAAACTCAATTCTCATTGGTGCTGACCTAGATTATTAAAAATACTGATGACAACCACTAATATTAACTAGGAACTTGATAGATGCTGGGCATTTACCAAGATTAGTTCATTGAATGCTCATGACGCTCACCTCTCTGGTGGGCACTACTAAAATCCCCATTGATAAGAGGAACAAACTGCTCACCTTACCCAAGAGGAGGTAAGAACCTTGCATTGATGAGTCATGTGGACAAAACTTCAAGGAATTTCTTTCCAAGCTCTGACCCTGCCTTTGATCCCATGTACTTCTCAGACCAACCTAACATCTCAGCCTCAGTTTCTTTGATCCTGGAGGGTCTGAGTGTCACCCTTCTTCGTGTTTCTCCATACCTCTACACACACACACGCATGCACACACATTCACACATACGCACACACACTCACACACATCAACTTGCCTAGCCGTGGCCATCAACAAACCCATTCTAGGCATAATCTTTTGTTTGAAGAAATGTAACACTGTGTTATGTTCTGAAGTCATGATAGCTTCATCATCCACATTTCTCAATACACATTTCTAGAATGCACTTTCCACACATCTTCTAATAAGTCCAGGTACGAGACTTTGCAGGGAAGTCATTTCCAAGAGTGGGAGAAAGGGTTATTCTCAGAGGCAAAAATTGGAAACAGGGGTTCTGCCTCATCTTTAAGCTCCATACTTTGTGGAAGCCACTTAACCACCCGTGGTTGTTATGAAGTTTAAAGAAGGTGATGCACACAGAGCAGTGAGCACAGTGTGTCCCTGATAGATGGTGGTAATTATTACTCTTTCCTTTTCAGAGTCATGACATTTAAAGCCATTGCTCAGCTGTTTATCCTGGGCTGTTCTTGGGGCCTTGGTTTTTTAATGGTTGATGAAGTTGGGAAGACAATCGGATTAGTCATTGCCTACATGTTTACCATCATCAATGTCCTGCAGGGGTTTTTGCTCTTTGTGGTACACTGTCTGCTTAATCGCCAGGTAAAGCGAATTACCTTGTCTCTGAGCCTTATTAAATGGTTGTTCATTTCTTGTCCTTCTCTGACCTTTTATATTTTGAGGTTGCCTTGATTCTCAAGGAAGAAGGTTTAGGTGCTGCTTGGGTTTGCCATGTGCTCTGGATTTCATTTAGCCTCCTAACATTGATCATTTGAGCATATCTCTTAAGAACATGCATTCATCTGCTCAGGAGGTCATAACAAAATAACAGAGGCCATGTGGCTTAGACAACAGAAATTTACCTTCTTACAATTCTGGAGGCTGGCATTCTCAGATCAGGGTGCCACTAGGGTCAGGTTCTGGTGCGAGCCATCTTCTTGGCTTGCATACAGCTGCTTTCTTGCTATGTTTTCACTTGGACGAGAGACCGAGAGAGAGCTTTCATGCTTCTTTTTATAAGGACACTAAATCTATTGGATCAGGGCTGTACCCTTATGACCTGGTTTAACCTTAACTACTTCCATAAAGGCCACATCTCCAAATACGGTCACATTGTTGGGCTAGAGCTTTAACATAAGAATTTGGGGGGTAGGGGGAAGGACACAAACCAGTTCATAGTAGAGCATGTTATCAGTCAGGACAAGGTAGATTATAGTGCAAAAACAAATAACTCCCCTCCCCTAATTCAGTGGCTTAACAACAATGGGTAAGATTTATTTCTTGCTCATGCTACATGGCCACATGAGCTACACGGTCTTCATTTGAGGATGTAGAACATCAGTGTTTCCATGGCAAAGGGAAAGGTGTAGTGTAGCTTAGCTCTCTCTCATTGGCCAAAGCAAGTCACATGGCCAAACCTGAATTCACCAGAGAGAGGATGAATTATTCTCCTGGAGTCAGGTGCACTACAAGGAGAGTACTAGAATATTTGGCAAAATCTACCATAAACTCAGAGAGACTTCAGCTTTAATCCCAGTTTTTCCACTGAGAGGGCTGCTTTGTGACATTGGGCAGGCTGCTTCCCTCTCTGAACCTTGATTTTCTCATCCAAAAATGTGGCAGTACTTACCTCACAGGGTTGATAATGAAATGAGATAATTCAATATCAGTCTCCTAGCACAGTCCTTGGCATACACCAAGTAGTTAGTGAAGAGCATTATTATAATTTTACCCTTTACAGAAGATTGGGAATGGCTTTCCTGGCTTTTTTCCTTTGCTAGTGAGTGAAACTACCAGTAATTAAGATGCAAGTGACAAAAAGACATTTTAACACTTCATTAATTCCCCTTTCATCTGTTAATGCCTTCTTAATGCTTGTACTTCTTACACACAGAAGAAGTAAAATACAACTTAAGTGCTTTGGTAAATTAATGTTGAGTATGAAATATCCAGATGACTTTTTTATAACCTTTTGAGTAGGTTAAAGGAAGTTGTGGAGTCACAATGGGTGGCTTAGAATCAAGGCTCTGGAGTAGGAATGACAAGATTTTGAAAGCTGGTTATGTGACCTTAGGCAAGTCAACATACCTCCAAGAGCCTCAGTTTCTTCATCTTTAATGGGGGGTGGGTACAAGAAATACCTTACTGATTGGATTTATGTAGGGGTTAAGTGATATATTGTATATAAGTGCATTAAACATAGTTTCAATACATGGTGACCTTCATCATCATAATCACCACCATTGTTACCTTTATTGTCATCATTATTGTCACCATCATCACCATTTAATCATCACCATTGTCATCATCTGCACCATGATCACCACCACCACCCTTACCTCTGCTACAATCATTATTGTCATCACCATCACTGCCATCATGACCATATTTACTTTCATTATTATTATTTGTAAATATATCTTTATTGATTTCAGAGAGAGGAAAGGAGAGGGAGAGAGAGAGATAGAAACATCAATGATGAGAGAGTCATTGATCGAGCCCACAACCCAGGCATGTGCCCTGACCGGGAATTGAACCCCAATCGCCTGGATCCTAGGTCGATGCTCAACCGCTGAGCCACGCCCGGCCAGGCTACTTTCATTATTACTACCATCGTCCTCATAATCACCATCTTCATCACCGCCTTCATTATTGTCATCATTACCCTCCTCCTCATCATTGCCATCATCACAGCCATCATCACCTTTATCACCATCACCATCATGACTTTCATTATCATGACAGTCATATATAGAGTCCTTATGGTGCTTGATATTTAGTAAACACCTTTTCTACAACTGAGGAAGTAAAATTTAAATAAAAAAATCAATATGACCATGGCCAAGATTACACAGAAAACCAATGAAAGAGCTGTAGAGAGCAGGGCTTGGCATTTATATCTTTAGTCTCCTATTTTAGGGCCCTTTCTTCTGAACCAAGCTCTGGATATAACACAAGCCTCTATATTCCCCAAACTTCCAGGTGCGAATGGAATACAAGAAATGGTTTAGTGGGATGCAGAAAGGGGTTGAAACCGAACACACTGAGGTCTCTCCCTCTTCTATCCACACCAGAATGGTAAGACCAGCTTCTCTGCAGCGCTGTGTACTTGTCTGAACCCAACATCTTGTGCTACCATGAACATCCTGGTTCCTTGATCTGAAAGAAAATATAAATTGCATTAGGTTCTTGTATTATGAAGCTGAAGTTTCTGGTTTTGAAGACTCAAACCAGAAAAGCTATTCTTCCTTTCTCTCTCTTCCCTCCCTCCCTTCATTCCCTTTCCAATTCTCTACATAGAAGCCAGAGTAGCAGTGAAATATGCAAATCAGATTATTTTACTCCCCTACTTAAAACTCTGGCTTCTCATCACATTTAGAATCAAATTGAACCTCCTATCCTCACTTAAAATGGGCCCAACACCTCTACTCAGCTGTGTTGGCTCCTTTTCAGTTCNTTCATTATTACTACCATCGTCCTCATAATCACCATCTTCATCACCGCCTTCATTATTGTCATCATTACCCTCCTCCTCATCATTGCCATCATCACAGCCATCATCACCTTTATCACCATCACCATCATGACTTTCATTATCATGACAGTCATATATAGAGTCCTTATGGTGCTTGATATTTAGTAAACACCTTTTCTACAACTGAGGAAGTAAAATTTAAATAAAAAAATCAATATGACCATGGCCAAGATTACACAGAAAACCAATGAAAGAGCTGTAGAGAGCAGGGCTTGGCATTTATATCTTTAGTCTCCTATTTTAGGGCCCTTTCTTCTGAACCAAGCTCTGGATATAACACAAGCCTCTATATTCCCCAAACTTCCAGGTGCGAATGGAATACAAGAAATGGTTTAGTGGGATGCAGAAAGGGGTTGAAACCGAACACACTGAGGTCTCTCCCTCTTCTATCCACACCAGAATGGTAAGACCAGCTTCTCTGCAGCGCTGTGTACTTGTCTGAACCCAACATCTTGTGCTACCATGAACATCCTGGTTCCTTGATCTGAAAGAAAATATAAATTGCATTAGGTTCTTGTATTATGAAGCTGAAGTTTCTGGTTTTGAAGACTCAAACCAGAAAAGCTATTCTTCCTTTCTCTCTCTTCCCTCCCTCCCTTCATTCCCTTTCCAATTCTCTACATAGAAGCCAGAGTAGCAGTGAAATATGCAAATCAGATTATTTTACTCCCCTACTTAAAACTCTGGCTTCTCATCACATTTAGAATCAAATTGAACCTCCTATCCTCACTTAAAATGGGCCCAACACCTCTACTCAGCTGTGTTGGCTCCTTTTCAGTTCCCTGAACTTCCCAGGCCCATCCCTGCCTCAGGGCCTTTGCACCAGCTGTTTCCTCCCACCCTTTCCTCTCATCCTGCCAGGTTGTCTCATTAATGTTCACACTCCAGCTGAAATATCACCTCCTCAGAGAAGTTTTCCCTAACCACTCATTCTATGATAGTCTCACTCTCTGTCACTACATTCTACTTTAATTCTCTGCATAACTATCTCATTATATATGGTATTTATTTTAAAGACATCAAAGTGTTTGCTTTTGGTCAGTCTTCACCCTCTCTAAATTTCATGGTTTGGGCTACTATTGTTTTCTTTTTGCCTGGAGCAATGCCTGGCTCTTGGGCTTCATTTGTTGAGTGTCTAAATTTCCCTTTTTAGGATGAGGAAACTGAAACTGGGAAAGCTCAGATGGTTTACTTAGAGCTACTCAGCCAGTTAGAGAAGTTCTAACACAGGTCTGGTTTCCTGCAAAAGTTGACAACTTTCCTTGGTTGTCACCAGAATTGTTGTTACTTCTGATGAACAACTATTGGGACCAGATGTTTTTAGAACACGCAGTTTCACATCAAGGATAATTCTGCTATGCGGCTACTGACTGTTGTAACAATACCCTATTTTCACAATATATGCCGCTGGTCACCCTTTGGCTGAACTCATCAATGGTCAAAGGATATGTCAGTCTGAACTGTGTAAATGAACTGTCTCAACACACATGGTCACCAAAAACATGTCACGTTGGAATCCACAGCATAGATTCTGGGGCTCGCCAGATCTGAATTTAAATCTTGATTCTTTCAGGTTCTGACTGGTAGACACTGGGCAAGTAGCTCAACCTCTCTGAGCCTCAACATTGAAATGTCTGATTGGTTCAGGACAAAAACAGTGTACACAAAAGCACTTTATGCTAAACCATGTCAACATTACTTTTTATTAATTCTAAATGATCAAGAGTCAACTATATATAAGAGCTCGACAATGATTATAATCCCTTATCTTTGAACAACCCTTTACATTCCAAAAAGCACACATTCAACCTTAAAATCTTCATTAATCATCTGTAGCTTTTAAGTCATTCATCACTGTTGTGTTAAAACGGAGCCAAAGCACCTGGGTTCAAACCACAACTGTTCTACTTCCAGGCTCTGTGACCTTACACAAGCCACTTAATGTCTCTGTGCCTCAGTTTCTTCATCTGTAAAATGGAAATAATAGTATCTATCTTATAAAAATTAAATGAGGTCATATGTGTTAAGTGCTTAGAATGCTACCCGGCACACAGCAAACACTTCAAAGGTTTGTGAAAAGATGAAATAAATAAAAAGGCCATCTACGCTGGTGCGTGTGCAGGAAGCTGTGGAGTCAGATAGCAGGGCCTCTTTATTCAGCTTTGGACCTTCGAGGTGCCAGCTTGCCAGCCCCAGGCGTGCTAGACTTTTAGTTAATTTCTGAGGAGTTAATATCTTTTCAGCTGTTTATCCATATTATCTGCCCCAGTAGGGAGAACCAAGGAAGTCACCAGAATTCATTCACGGAAGAGACACTGCGTCTGACCAACCATGGCCTAGGGCTCGACTTGCAACTGATTTTTGGCAAAGAACAGAAGACTGAGCCGCTTTTGGATGGGACCCTGCTGTGGTCACATATGGATTGGACAAATGCCATCGCCTGTATCTTTCCTACGAAAATGAGCCTTGTCTCCTCCTGTTTTGGCTTCTGTCACCGCAGACAGAAAGGGGCACGTGGGAGAATTCTTAGACTGGGATCCAGAATGTATGTCACGTGCAATTAAGTGCTCAACGGATCCTTTTTAATGACGAGGGAAATGAGTGGATTTTCTTCTTCCAGCTGTTGCCACCTTGCCCGAGACTAATTGGCTGGCACCTGGGTTCAGCTCACACTCACTCTCTGGTTTCTCTGTTGCTTTACATGCTTCCAAAGATCTTACATTGCTCAACATCTGCAAAATTCAATATGTAATTCCCATATGAATAAATATTAAAAAGTGGGTTGCATTCTAGGAGTGCAGAAACACCCCCTCCCCCCATCCCCGCTTAGCTCTGCATTGTCACTGGGAAGGTGACGGGGACTTTCCGGTTTTCTTTCCCTGATGACTGTTTTGAATCCATCCTGGTTAAAGAAAATCTTGTTTTCTTAGTGCTATCTTGAGCATGTTCTGAAACAGCATGCTGTATCTCAGTGGTGGTTTGGCCTTATTTTTACCCTTTCTAATTTGTTTTCCAAGGTTATTGAATTTTAGGTGTATTTTTCAGTACTAGAATTAGTAAGTGGATGAATGACTTTGTTACCCAACATTTTAAAAATAATTTTAAATTATAACAGTAAATGTTAAAATAGCCAAGAGTCACCATAATCCATTTGAAGAGCTTTTGTGTGTGGGTTTTAGGTCGTGGACAAAGGATTGTGACCCTTTTCTGCTCAGCCAGCTCAATGTCTCCTCCACGTGGCAGTGATATATATAATCAGAGGTTATAATTCACTCCACCTGCTGGCTTTGAAATTGTGATTCCCCTTGAAAAGTTGAAATTTAGGGAGGCTCACGTGGTTTTTAAAAAAATGTTTTTATTGACTTTAGAGGGGAAGGTTGAGAGAGAAAGAAACAATGACTGGCTGCCTCCTGCATGCCCCCTGAGGACTGAGGCAGAAACTGGGGCATGTGCCCTGAGCAGGAATTGAACGGATGACTTTTCGGTGCATGGGGCGATGCTCGACCAACTGAGCCACACCAGCCAGGGCTCATGTGTATTTTTATGTCATGCAACTTCAAATTTACATGAATAAAACTAGCATAAAATACACCTTTTTCAGGAGGATACTTTGGCACTAACCAAATTAACTATGTGCATAATCCGTTCATTAAAAAATTCCATTGCTCTGAATTTATCCCAGGGATATCGTGATAAGTATGATTTATAAATACAGGGTGACCTGACATATAAATTCAGGGTGATGTGATGTAATCTATCACCCTGGCTTATTGGCTGTGATGGGTTAGATGGAAGAAAAGGAGCATTTTGTACGCAAGCATGAGACTATAAACCTGTACATACATTTACAAGTTCACTAGGCTGCCACACCCAAAGAGAAGACAAGCCAGCAGGGCTTATTCTTGCCAGCCACCAAACTCTGGAAAACAACATTAGTGTCCCTGAGTCTCTCCGGAGTGTGCTGGACCATTGCATGGATGCCACGGGGTCTCTGGACACCCTTCACCACTGAGGAGAAAGACCATCCATGAGCAAAGGTTTGCTTTGATGCAACATTTGGCAGTAAACAGTAGCTACAGGCCAAGAAAGACTAACCACATGCTGGGGTTAAGGCAGCCCAGGGCTTTTGTTAGCTCTCATTGCCACTGAACGGATCAGTTTCTGATTGTTTCTTAACTTGTTGAATAAGAATAAATCTGTGTGTGGCAAGCAACAAGTGGCAGAGTTTTCGTAATTGCCTCTTCAGATTGGCAATTTTGAACGGGTTCTTGGCTGTCAGCCGTCCCCAAATCTCCCATGTAAAATAACTGCTGTTTGGTTTGAACAAGTCAGATGCAATCACAGTAGTTCACCAGCATGGTGATACCCCAGTTTCCATTCTACTGTTTCTATTTCATTATCATCATGGAAACAAGGTGTCGATCCATCAGGACCGTTTCACTAATTGATGATATATCCATAGGATGTAATAAGTAATATGCAGTTAAGTTTTTAAAATGAGGCATATTTTCATGTCCTCTTATAAAAAGACCTCCAAAATGTATGGGTCATATGAAAAAACCATGTGCGGTTCAGTGAGTATAGTATAATATATGACAAATAACACACTCTGCTAGTGGATGGCCCCTATTTTTTTTAAATCAGAAACTCAGACGGGAACCATTCTCTCGGGCTCTTTAGGGGATGGGGTGGGGCAATGTGCTCTGAGGCCTGGGTCCCCTGGGCGCAGCCAGGAGAGAGTAGTCCCAGGCCAGGGCCCTGGCCAACATGCGGTCTCTTTCTCTGAGGCTCCCCCTGCTTCCCAAATCCAGCTGTGCTTCTGAGGCTCTGATCCTCACCTCCACCACCTCCTCCCCACCTCCCTACTCAAGCGGAGAAACACATGCGGCCTTCCCAGCCCCTCCCTGCCCAGGGAGATCCTTCCAGGCCAGCACTTCTTGTCCACAGTTTTTGGCTCCGTAGGAGGCCCTGGAGCAGCCCTCACTGTCCCTCTCTCAGGAATGACTCCTGGCTAGGTGGTGCACGTGGTTTGATCTGGCTGTGGGCGGCAGCAGATAATTACAAGGAGAGAATAATTGCTTCTGGCAGTGCCAGCAGCCCACTTTGGTGGATGAGACAGAGAAGGGTCAGATGCTGAGGCAGGCCTCCCAAGGCAGGTCACAGCAGGGGACAGGGACCAAGGTTGTCAGGAAGGGCCACCAAAGCAGGGCCTCCCACACCTCAAGGTCCTAGCAGGGGTCCTGAGTGACAGGAGCCTCGTTCCTAGACCCTCCAGAAGACACGGATCACAGGCGCTCATTACTGCCAGGTGAGTGTGCGCATCCAGGTTCCCCACTTGGCCTTTATTGACCTCTAAGCGGTGAGGCTCTCTTAGTGATGGAGTGGTGGATGGAGTTCCAGCTCCCTGTCAGGGCTCCAGTGACACCTCAGTGGTAGGAACAGTACTGAGACAGGCTGAGCCTCTCTTAAACGAATGGGAATGCTGGTCACTTTTTTTTTTTTTCCCCTCTCCTAGATAAGTTTAAAGCTTCTTTTTAGGCACTCCCAAAAGAGCTCCCCTCTGAGCATGCACTAGTTGACACCTGCTGGGGAAAGCAAAGGGCTCCTGGAAAGCAGAGCTCCCCTCAGCGCATGCATGCGCGGTAGATGCGTCCCGGGGCGGAACCTGGAAAGCAAAAAACAAAACCAAACCACCTGGGAACCTCAAAAGCAAAGAGCTCAGCCTGTGAGAGGGTCAGGATACTAGCTAGCTCCCAGTGGGAACCTATTAAGCAAAGAAATCTAGCCGGGCCCCATCTAGCCCTGCCTTGTAGCGTTGCAGTGGTGGGGGTCATGCTTCTGAACAGTGAGAGCAGCAGCAGGGCCTCAGGTCTTGGGGCCATGGGCTTTCTGCAGTGAGCTCAAATGGGGCAACGTGACCACTGTCCATTGTCCTGTTGGCCGGAGGCTTTGGGACTCCTTGAACTGAACTATGGACCTGGAGCTGATGGGGAATCTTGGAGCTGTGCATCCCACTCTTATGGGGAGTGAGCCCAGCAGGTATAGCCTGTTGGATATCTCCTTCCCAGAAGGGATGTGACCTGGGGGTGTTGGGGAGAACCAGCCAGTCTGAGGGACAGGTGATATCCCCTGTCTCTACCCTGTCACGATGGGGAACTGCTCAGCATGGTAGCAGAGCCTGTGCCCCTGTGCCAGTGAAACAGGATGGGCACCATGGGGAGGAGGTGCTGTGCTGAGTCCTTTCCTCTGGCTGCCAGGACAGTGCCAGCAAGCTTGGGGACGTGTATTACTTTGACTGTACTTGGAGATGTTGCTGCTCTGCTTTGGCAAGGTACTTGGGCCCCTGCCAGACCCGGGGTGGCGGGCCCTCCAATGTGGGAGCCAGGGAGATGGGGCCAGCACCTATGAGATGATGTTTCACCAAGTGGCCACCTTTGGGACCAGGCCTAGAAAGAAATCTTACCATGGAGGGTTGGGGTAGGGAGGCAAGCTGGCTATGGCTGCCTGTCCCAGGGACCACTCGGCTAGCTGGGTGGGGGCCCCTGCTGGGTGAACACAGGCTCCCTGCCTTTGGTAGGGGAGCCCCACCAGGGCCCAGTCTTGGGACCTGATCTGTGAGGCTCTGCTGCTGAAGGGGTATTAAGCACCAGCCTCTGATCTCAGCCAGGTTCCTGGGACCTGGTCTTGCCTTGACCCTTGCCCACATATAGCCAGTGAAGGGAAAACAAGGCAGCCATGAGCCAACCTCCCCAAACCCATAGGGAAAGGAGGTATTAGCCCCTCTCCCCTGAGGCATAAAGTGAGGCTCAGATATGGGTGAAGATGTGTGTGTGTGGGGGAAGGGGGTTCACAGAGGCCTCCACCCTGGGCCTCTGTGTTCCCAGGCCATCGTGGAGGAGCAGATGGTCTTGCAGCTGGTGGCCAATGTCCTCATCAGCCCGTACGGCATGATGGCTGTGCAGGCTCGGGCTAGCTGCTTCGTGGGAGCAGGGCTCGGGGCTGTGACCATGAGGCGAGCCCCCCGACCCTGCTCCCACCTGGTCCCCACACAGGAAGCCTCCCACTGGCTTTGTCCTGCTGTACTTTAATGAGGCCTGGTGGTGGGGGGCGGGGGGCGTTGGATGGCATGGAGGAGTCCCAGGTGGGAGGGGCTGGGCAAGTTGTGGTCCCAGAGAGGGTGGAGCACAAGGTCCATGCAGCCGCTGGCCTGGATGCTGGTGGCTTCGTGGAGTTGTGGCTGTGGCCTGTGGTGAGCACTGCCAGCTCCCATGGGAGGCTCCTTGTTGCTCAGGACACAGGGTCACTCTCTTTTGTCTTTTTCATCTTCCTACCTGATGGAAAAGGGTGGGTTAGTGACAGGGTCCCAAACCTAGCGCCCTCCCCCGTCTGTCCTCACCCTGCTGGAGGGGGTGAGTGTGGTCACCGAGTGCCTGCTGTGTACTTGGTCTTTACATGCATTTGTTAGAGTAGGGAGCTAGGTGTTAATAAAGGGAACAAAGGGAACCAGGCGTTACTGAGCATAATAAACTAGAGAGATGAGCTGGATTGGATATGAGCCCGCTTCACTAGGAAATTGCAGCATTCATAGGCTCCCGAGGGGACCGCGGCATTGCTCTGCCAAGGGGATTAACACTCCTCCCTCCCCTGTGCAGAGAGAAAGGACCTGCTTTCCAATTTCCTGGGGTACAACCAACCATTATTCGGGATTACCGAGGGAAAGATAAAACAATAAAGGGGGAGGTAAGCACATGCCCAGCGGAAGCCCAGATGGTGCAGGGGGAGGTGCTGCTGCTATGAGGCATTGGCAGTAGGGACTAAGATCGACAGTAAGGGGCGGACCTAGACTGGGAACAGGACCGGATTGGGAAAGGAACACAGAACTCTGGAAGACCTAGGAAACAGGTTAGGGGGAGGACCCATGAGAGGCCTGGGAAAGACTGGGAAGTTGATTGGTTAGATTGAAAGGGCACCTAGTCCTTCCAAAGCCCAAGGTAATATAATCGAAACTTGACAAAGCTCTCTCTCTCTTTCTCTCTCTCTCTTTTTTGTCTGGTGACACATGCTTGCCCCATGTGCTTGCACAGCAGCCACAGCAACCATGCAGCCACCTAGGGCCTGCAGAAGACCATGTGGGCTCCAAGCTTGGGCCTGGGCACAGCACTAACTGAAGCGCAGCCAGGAACAGAAGCTAAACTAGCCGGATGGGGACAGGGACAGAAGTGGACTAAACCAATGGCACAGAATTTCTGGACACTGGTCTTTGTTCTGGGCTTGATGTAGATAAGGCTGGACTTTCCCCACAGTGGGACAGATGGAGATGAGACATCGGGAACCTGGGGTCAGTAATTTATTTCAACCCCAATAAATCTTACCACTGAACCTCATCCTCCCATGTGTGGGCCCCTGGACTCCATTTCCACCAGCAACACATTGACCCACAAGAATTATGATGCCCCTCTCACAGAGGAGGAAACTGAGGCTCAGAGATATTGAGTATTTTGCTTTTGGCTCAGGGCTGGAATTAGAACCTAAGACTGGTGACTTCTGAGCCAGGCCTCTTGTTCCCAGACAAGCTGCCCAGTAGTTCTTTGGAGCTCAGAGGTCAGTCACCAGCGAGGGGGAACCCTATGGCCCAGAGATCTCAGCATTCTCTCCGACGTTGATTCTGGCAGGTTCTGTTGGCCAAGATCTTCTGCACGGAAGCTTATTCCCAGAATCTCTCCACCTTATCTCAGCTGAACAAGTGTGAGTAGGGTTGCGTGGGGGAAGGAGGAGAGGGGCTGATTCTAGGCGGCTGTTGGCAGTGAGCTGTTTCTGGACCCTGTCATTCTCCTAGGGCCTGCTGGCTGCTCACAAACTTCTGCCTTGAGCGAGGGCTGGGTAAGACCTCTGCTGACCTGCAGACAAGAGCTGTGCCAGAGGTGGAGGCCCTGCTGGCATCTGCCCAGGGAAGGTTCACAAAGGAAGGAGGCAGCCTCTGCCTTTGCAGCCCTGCACTGCAGTGGAAACAGAGCTGCCCTTCTTGCAGATGTCCCAGGCTGCTGCCCTAGACCACGCGGGAGCTTTGCTGGGCTGCTCCGTTTGTCTGGAATGCCCTTCCTCTTCCATAGCCATGTGGCCATGTCCTAGAATGTGCAACTTGAATTCTTCTTCTGACCCGTACAGCCCTGCAGAGCCCAGCCCTGCTGCGGGGAGGTTGTGGAGAAGGACAGTTAGTCTGTGTAGCTCCTGGCTCTGGATGCTGGCCAGGCGCCTTCCAGGGTGCTGACTGACTGTTGATGTGCTTGGGGGGTGAGGAGATGGTTTCTCCTGCAGTAGGCTCAAATCGCAGAGCAGCCTTTTATTGACCAAGTGCCTTCTCTGCATCCCTAATTCTGCATGATCTGGAGTTTTTAGGGATTAACAAGATGAGCCCTTTGTTAGCCTCTATCTACAGCCCAGAATCCCTTCCTGGGGGGCTGGGGGGTGGGGTCTGTGGCCACCCACAGGCTGACTGTTGGAAAAAATGTTCCAACAATATTTCTATGATCACAATGCAGAAAGATCACCCATGGTCTCCTTTTCCTTCCCAGGTTCTCCAGAATATCTAGATGAACAGATGAAGAAAATGTCCCCAGCAGGTTCTAGAGAGTGGAGCAAATGTCTGTGCCCTGCTGCCACCAGCCCCCAGGCCACAGCCTGTTGCTGGACAGTTCTCACATAGTCCTGACAGTACAGAACATGGGGTTATTCCAAGCTGAACTATTTCTTCCTGGTTTTCACCTGGCCTGAGGGAGCCTCCTCCAGGCTTTGGCCTGTGGGCACTCCTGCCTGCCATGTCCCCAGGTTCTGAACACAGAGAGAGAATGAAATCCTGAGACCTGGGATTTGATGCTGCTAGTTTAGGACACTTCACAGTGGACACTGGGGTTTGTGCCACTGCCTGCGTGGCATGAGGCTTCGGGGGGTACCTGTTTTGGGCATGGACAGCCATTTCTACCAGACCACACATGCCCAAAGAAACAGCTGGAAAGCTGTGTGTCATTCACTTAAGGAGCAAAATGCACTTAAAACACGTAGCAGGAACCATTTAACAAAGAAGAATATAAAGTGACAGAGTGACCTGGCCGGGTGTGGCTCAGTGGTTGAACATCAACCTAGGATCCAGGAGATCACGGTTTGATTCCCGATCAGGGCACATGCCGGGGTTGCGGGCTCGATCCCCAGTCGGGGGTGTGCTGGAGGCAGCGAATCGATGACTCTCTCATCGATGTTTCTATCTCTCTCTCTCCCTCTCCTTTCCTCTTTCTGAAATCAATAAAGATATATTTTTAAAAAATAAAAAAATAAAGTGACAGTTTGTGTTTATCCTTCTAGTCATGATTTTACTCAGAACCAGCCTTTAATGGATGACAGCATGACCCTGAGAACCACCCTTTGGTGATGGCTTCCAGTCCCTTCTGTCCTCACCGAGCAAGAAGAAGGCCCTGAAAGTTGAGGGGCAGGTGCCCAGTGCAGGCCATGGGGGTTAGGAGCCCTCGCTTTGATCCCTCCCAAGTGTAGGGTGGACAACCCCACTGCTTGGTATATGACAATATATGCTGCTTCCCACCTGGGCTTTTCTCTCTTGAGGTGAGGGACAAAAAGGTGTCTTTAGGTGGCGCTAACAGGCCTTTGCATTTTCCCAGGCGCCCTCTGCTGTTACTTGCTGGCTGTGCTGGCTCCCAGCTCGCTGGCTGGTTTCAAGCTTTGCTCTGGTTCCCGAGTGGTTTGGGGCTCCCCCTAAACCTTGCTGCCAGAAAAACCACCTCTTTTTCTCTGAACGAACATTCTGGCTCTGTTAACCAACAAATTTGGGTTCTCTGTCAACCAATAAATGATTGTGAGGTCTTTATAAACAGAGGGATGGGAAGAAGGAAAAGAAAGCTCAGAGGGATTGATGCAGCAAGGCCCCAGTCTCCCCGCAGAGGGAGAGGGCAGGGAGAGGGCAGGGAGAGGGCAGGGAGATGGCAGGGAGAGGGCAGGGAGACGGCAGGGAGATGGCAGTGTCTTGAGGTGGACAGGAGTTGGAAGGTGTCTTCGGGGCTTCCATCCCGTGACGCCCTGATACTGTCCCCACCTGTTGGCTGGGCCTCCAGAGGCCAGTCGCGGGGAGANAGGGAGAAGGCAGGGAGAAGGCAGGGAGAGGGCAGGGAGACGGCAGGGAGACGGCAGGGAGAGGGCAGGGAGACGGCAGGGAGACGGCAGGGAGATGGCAGCGTCTTGAGGTGGACAGGAGTTGGAAGGTGTCTTCGGGGCTTCCATCCCGTNTGGATCGATGACTCTCTCATCGACGTTTCTATCTCTCTCTCTCCCTCTCCTTTCCTCTTTCTGAAATCAATAAAGATATATTTTTAAAAAATAAAAAAATAAAGTGACAGTTTGTGTTTATCCTTCTAGTCATGATTTTACTCAGAACCAGCCTTTAATGGATGACAGCATGACCCTGAGAACCACCCTTTGGTGATGGCTTCCAGTCCCTTCTGTCCTCACCGAGCAAGAAGAAGGCCCTGAAAGTTGAGGGGCAGGTGCCCAGTGCAGGCCATGGGGGTTAGGAGCCCTCGCTTTGATCACTCCCAAGTGTAGGGTGGACAACCCCACTGCTTGGTATATGACAATATATGCTGCTTCCCACCTGGGCTTTTCTCTCTTGAGGTGAGGGACAAAAAGGTGTCTTTAGGTGGCGCTAACAGGCCTTTGCATTTTCCCAGGCGCCCTCTGCTGTTACTTGCTGGCTGTGCTGGCTCCCAGCTCGCTGGCTGGTTTCAAGCTTTGCTCTGGTTCCCGAGTGGTTTGGGGCTCCCCCTAAACCTTGCTGCCAGAAAAACCACCTCTTTTTCTCTGAACGAACATTCTGGCTCTGTTAACCAACAAATTTGGGTTCTCTGTCAACCAATAAATGATTGTGAGGTCTTTATAAACAGAGGGATGGGAAGAAGGAAAAGAAAGCTCAGAGGGATTGATGCAGCAAGGCCCCAGTCTCCCCGCAGAGGGAGAGGGCAGGGAGAGGGCAGGGAGAGGGCAGGGAGATGGCAGGGAGAGGGCAGGGAGACGGCAGGGAGATGGCAGTGTCTTGAGGTGGACAGGAGTTGGAAGGTGTCTTCGGGGCTTCCATCCCGTGACGCCCTGATACTGTCCCCACCTGTTGGCTGGGCCTCCAGAGGCCAGTCGCGGGGAGAGACAGTGCTGAAGCTCAGAACGCCCTTGGATCTATTTTCCAACTTCCCTTTATACAGTTAAGAAACCAGGACCAGAGCAATGAAGGGACCGGCCCAACATCACTTGGCAAGTTAATATTGCACCGGAACTAGAGTCCAGGACTCCTGAGCTCCAGCCCAGCGTTCAGTCTGTTACGCCAGATCCATCCTGACTCCATCCTCTCATGGGCATTACCTAAAACAAAACTGAACCTGCTGGAGACAGACAGCCGCACAGAACTCCTGCCGCAAAACCAGGAGGCTCGGCTTGGCGGGGCGCTTCTGTTACCTGCGGCTGGGTTCAGTGCCGGAGAAGTGGGCAGCCAGAGGGAAGGCGGTGGCTTCTTGTACAGATCGAAGTCCCGATGGCGCCGGTCCCAGCTCCACCTCTCTCGATCCAGCACAGGCTTCAGCTTGTTAGCAAACAGCGCGTTTTCCCTCCACTCCTGGATCAGGACCAATAAGTTAGGGGGAAGGTCCTTGGAGACACCCCACCCGACACCCTGCTCCTCCCTGTGGACCTCGGTCAGCTCTGAGGCGGTGTAAATGGGCAGTAGCTTGGGGTGATGGTCCCTTTCGGCGCTTCTATGAAGACCTGTCACTTGGAATCCACTGGTTGTGAGCCAGGCCTGGCGGGATTTCTTCTTGGCCTTTTTCTCTTCTTCTTCTGGATCCTGAGGCTCCACCATGGCTGAGAGGAAATTCTGTGAATATGTGAATCTTTTCCTCGGCTCCTGAAAATGAGGGCAGATGTGTGGATGGAAGGGTGGGGCAGACTTGGAGAGGGCCGGCTGAGCCTCAGGTCTCTGTGCAGGCGTCAGAAACAACTGAGGGCACAGTGACAGTTCCCAACGGTGTCAGTGGGGCATTCAGATGAACTGAACGGTGCGGCAGCCTCGGGACCTTCCTGTTATTGTCCCTTTGACAGAAGGGGCCCGCACCGTGACCGTGTACTGAAAGCCTAAGCCGAGGCTTTTCCTCCAGGGTCACAGCTGCTTTTCCCTGGCAGCAGCAACCTGCTTTCCAGGGGTGCAGAGCCTGCAGTGGTTTGCAGCTGGGAACATCTGAGCGCAGCGAGGCCCTCTCGGCTCACCCCTGCCCGTGGAGGATTCACGTGTGGTATGGGAACAGAACCCCTTTGCCGGTACCCGATCCCTTGCCTC